AGAAAAACAAAACACTTCTCCCTACTTTATAATGCTGCTGTGTAAACAGCCCTGTAGGTTTTGGGGGACACACCTAAAGGAGGCAGGTGAGGTGAGGCTGGTCAGGTCATGGAGCTGCCTCTCCGGGGCCAACTGGGCAGCCAGATCCTCTCAAGAGCTTTCCCAAGAGGGAAGGGCACTGCTGCTCACAAGGTGAACATCTCCCCTCCAGCCACTGCCCCCCAGTCAATTGGGCTGGAGGGGCCCTGACCCATCTCCCAGCCCATCCTCCCCACCTGCTTCACTCCTGACACACCACGAGCCCACAGCCAGTTAAATCCGGCCCTTGAGGCTCTTGCCCTTTCTCTTGTTGATGAAAAAAAAAAGAGTTTTTTCCTCCCTCATTTGCTCCACCTTCTCATTTCTAGCCTAAACCCAACATCCTGTGCACCCAGAGAGCTCCCAAGAGCTCCACAATGCTACTGGGCCATTTCTACAACCCCCATCAGGACATTCCCAAAGCACCTCGACAGCCTTTGCTGGGAAGCATCTATGGCCCTGCCCAGCTTGTGGCTGGAAAGATCAGAATTTGGTTCCAAACCTTGATTTTTTTTCCTCCCTGAAACAAAAGGGTGTAAAGCCCAAACACTGCACCTTAGAGCCTCCCGTGGTCCTGCTTTCTGGCATCCCTATGGCCCTGTGTTCTATTCCGGGACGTGTTTCCCTCAGTAGCAGAGGTTCTTACCTTGGACTTGCTCACTCGTGGCCTCTGTGGTGAAGTTCACTGCTCACCCCAGCACACTGCACATGGGGCTGTGCTGGGAATCAGGATTATAAGATGGAAAACCTGGCTGCACTGGTACAGCTGAGGGGGATGAGGTGCTGCAGGGAGACAGGAACTCCACGGGGTAATTTTGTCACTGGGAAAGCACACCCCGAGCTGGTTCTGTTGGGTGGTTTAACCTTGTTTTCAGTGAATATCAGGCCACTTCTAACTGTGCCAACACAGGCATGAAGAGCACTAAGCCCGTGGGGTAGGTGTGGCACAACACCTGATTCCAGTTTCGCTCCATCCCCAATTACCATCCATTAATTAAAACATATTCATTATACAGGCAAAACTCCCACCAGCATTGCCAGGTCCAGGGCTCGGGTCCTGCCAGTGCTTGCTCCAAGGGGGAACTGCCACAGCCCGCAAGGGACCGTGCCACAGGCAGAACAATGGGGACAGATTTTCCCCGATACAGGAACATTGAGAAGGGTAAAAATAACAATTCCTGGAAGAGCTGGGTGTGCAGGAGGGCTGCCCCACGGCTGCTGTGCTCCGTGGTGCAGCCCTGGGCAGCACAGGGACACATCCCCCTTGCTGTGCACAGACCCAGGGCACAGCATCACCCCCGGGGGCTCAGGGGCTTCCCGGGGAGACCGAGGTGGGAGAGCCCCATAAAACATCCTCCACCTCGCCAGCCAGGGGGTGGCTTTCTAATTACCCAGGTGGGTTTCTATTGTAAGGAGGGCAGCAATGCAGGATTTGACGCCAGGGCTCTGAATGTGTCACCTGCCCAGGGCAATTTAGCAAGTGGCCTGTGCTTTGTGTTCCCGCTGTCCACAGCCACGGGGATCGCTGCCCTGGCAAGCCAAGACCCCACCCCTGTGGGACCTGCCACCCTGATAAACTGATTTACCTCATGTCTGCCTTCCCTTAAAACCCACACTGTGATGTGAAGAGGGTTCTGTGGGTGTGTGGGGCTGTATATACTGCAGCTGTTTCTTTACTCAGGACAGATACCAAAATGCTTTAAGATTTTGATCATCCCATGAAAAGCACTGGCTGTTTGATCACATAGCAAGAAAACAAGAAACAAAGCATCAGGATTTTGTCAGTAAAGCCAAGGGGCTCCAGCTGACATTCAGAACACTGCTTTTCCAAACAGCCTGTCCCTCAGCAGCATGTGGGTCCAACACAGGCTCTGGTGGTGCCTGCATGCTGACAGCTCACTGTGAGGTCCAAGGCTGCCCAGAAAGACTGACAGTGCATTTTCTGCACAACCAGGTGAATTCAACAGAATTTTCCTTTCAGGTTTTTTTTTCCCCATCCAAAACCAAACCAAAAGCAAGTTTCCGGGCAGCGGGGAAACCAAAGAGAAACCATTCTCAGCACTAAAACTACTTTCAGCATCAACACTACTTTCAGGATCAAAACTACCCTCAGCATCATCTCTCAGATGGGACCTGTGGCTCAGGTGACCCAGGGTGTGACCAGGGGGCTGTTCCCATGGGTGATGGGGGAGCATCCAGCCCTGCAGCCCCCCAGAACCTGGCTGCTGACTTACAGAGCAAAGCATCAAAATCAGCTCCTGAACAGCTCTGCCGCTGAGGTCAAAAAGACCACCCACCTCTGTGCCTCAGTTTACCCAACTGCAAATAGAGGTGTGTATGTTTAATCTCCTGTACAGCAAAGACGCTGCACAAACCACTCTGTAAGTGCAAAATTCAGTAACACAGCAAAACCAAAGTCTGCTTTTGCCTAAGGTGGGAAAGTCCAGCAGCAATCCCACTGGGATGACTGCAGTCCTTGCTGGATGACCCACAGAAGTGCTGCCTCCCGCTCGCCAGGGCTGAGCTGTGAGCATGGAAAAAACCTGGAGCGGGGCGGGAGGGCTCGTCCCAGCACGCTGCTTTGTTTGCTGACAACCAGTGCAAGTGACAACGTTATGAGTGAGTGACTTTTGAGATCCCTGTGACTTTAATTGGAAAGGACATTTTTAACAGCCCAAGAGCTGTGCGGTCCTGCCAGCGGCTGCTCACGCCCAGGGACGCTGTTATTCCTCTGGCATGTGATAGGAATATTGTGTGTGAACTGACAGGGCAGACACGCCAACGTTTTCTTAGCTGCACAGGCTCTCTCACACAAGAAAAAAAAAAATCGATGTGCCCTCAGGGACAGCCAGGCACAAACCCCAAAATTACCTGTGTGCATACAGAAAATGCACAGCAGATTTCCAAGCCCTATGCATGGGGTTTAATCAATGAGCTTCCCCGATACATGGGAAACACTTCATTCCCAGTAATTGTCCTTTGACAGCTCTAACAAGTAGGATCTGTTTGGGATGGTAATGATTAAAATGCTGACTCACAGAGGGGTTTCCATGCTGGCAGGACTGCACCAGCTTTGTGCTCACTTGGAAGGTATTTTGCATCCCTGCTTTTCAACCAATCTGCAATTTTAATCCTCTGGTTGCAAACGGGTTGTTTGTGGCTTTGCCCAGCTGACTCCAGGTTTCCCTGCTGCAGGGTCTGGAGGGAGAGGGCTCTCCCCTGGCTCGAGGATGGGCAGCAGGACAGGGAGAGTCCCTGTGCTTTCTGCAGCCAGGAGCAGTGAGGAGCTGGTCTGCCTGCTCGGGGCAGGAGGGAGAGGAGTGACAGGTCCCAGCAGAGGCACCTGAGCCCATAGACCTGCACTTCAGACACCAGCACTGCGAGGTGTCAAACCCCAGAGCAGGTTGCTGGCTCTGCTCTGCTGCATTTCATGGCAAGACAGCAAAGTACTTCACGAATGTGTTTGAGGTGCAGCCTCCTGCCCGGCCATAATGCCACTGGCTGCTGCTGCTCAGCTGCCTGTGAGGATGGGGCTCATCCCTGTGTGGCCCCTTCTGCTAGTGGGGCAGCCCCACAGGTGCCACATGCAGTGCAGTCCCATTCCCTTGAACCTCACTTTTGCAGCCCCTTCACCAGTCCCCCTGCACCATCAGTGATTAACACAGGGAGATGGGTGTGCCCAGAGGTCAGGCAGGGGGCTGAGAGGAGGAGGAGGAGGAAGGCAGCACCTCTGCCCTGCCACAGGGCCATGGCTGGGCAGAGGCTGTGCCTCTGTGCCATGGGGCAGTGCCAGGCAGAGCCGGGGGGCTGTTGGCACTGCTGGCACAGCACAGCACTGCTGTGGGGCCAGGCACCCACACTGCCCCATGGAGCAGCCAGGAGCCCTGCCCAGGGTGAGCCAGCCCCCAGTGGGACCATCCACCCCCAGGAAAACAGACTCGGCAGTTTCCATGAGCACCATCTCCCGTTTCTCCATGTGCAGCATCACAGCACGTCACAGCCTTTAATGACACTGGCCAGAGTTATTAAAAGGCTTTTTTGGGTTTCCTCTGCTGAGGATTTTCCTTTCCCGAGCACAGCTGATGGCTCAGCAGTGACAGAGGCCCCTCACTCTGCTGAGGCTACGGGCAGCTCCTGCCTGTGGAGCGGCAGCAGCGGCCGTGCCTTTGCTGCAGCAGCTTTTACCGTAAGGAAATTGCCAACCCCAGAAAACTGTTCCCCTAATTACAGCGTTGGAGCAGGGAGAAAACCACAAAAATGATTCACACAGTGTTCCCAAAGCTGCAGCCGCGTAAATTAGAGAGATCTCCGAGCGCTCCCGAGCCGCGCTCGCTGTTATCGGGATGGAAATGCAGGAACTTTCATCATAAAGAGGCAAGAAGGGAAAAAAACCTGCCGCTAAACGCATCTCTGCGAGCCAAGGAGACCTGGGAGGTCTATCCCCTATAGATCTTTACAGAAGGGTTGTTAAAACTCCTCGGGGAGTTCTTGTAGGAGGGAGCAGGCAGATAGCAGGGAAACTATAGAAATGCATCAGCTTGTTATTTCGGAGGGACACGGGGACAGAGCCTCTGCTGCCAGCAGAGGATGAAAAGGAGAAGGCAAGAGGACTTGGGGCGAGCAGAAAGGGATGGCTGGTGGCAGGGAAGAGAGTTAAAAGTGTCCCATTGTTAGGGAAGTTTGCTCTCCCTCAGACCATCCCGCTCCCAGGGACACCGCGCCGCCTTTTGAAGTGCAACCTTAGGCGGTTCCTTGTCACCCATTGGAGCGGGAGCTTTTTTACCACATTAAGTCATTGGGTAGCAAATGAATGGGGGGTTTTGACTATTCACAACTTCACCTTATAAATATCAGGGTTGGAGGTTCCTGCAGCTTTCCTCCATCCCCATAGCTCACCTTGGGAAGGAGCAGAGGGAGGCGGCCCTGCTCGCTCGGAGACCTGCGGTGCGGAGAGCTACGGATCAGCCAAAGGGATCCAACCCTGCTCCTTGTGACAGCCATGAAGAGAAGGACCTTTCTCATCCTCTCCCTCACGGGGTTCTACAGTGCAGTTCTCCACACAGCAGCATGGTAGGGTCCAACTCAGTGGAATGGGCATTTTTTTAGGGATGCTCCTCAGCCTGTGGTAAGCCGTGTGATTCATTTTCTTTTCTTTGTTTCAGGTCTGTGAATAACTTCCTGATGACAGGACCTAAGGTAATTAACGCATGGACTGTCAGGAATTTAAGTGGAGTGATTTTGTTTTGCAAATGGGAAATAGTGCTTTTCCAAGGAACCAGCCTTCCCAGGGCATATCGGCTCCAAGTCCTGACAAGCATAAGAGGGAAAAGGACCTGCAACCTGTTTATGTCTGTTTTCACTGATAAATGGTAAAACGTGGTGGATTTTAACCCTGGTGTTTCCCGTGCCAGGCTTACCTGACGTACTCCAGCAGCGTGGCAGCCGGGGCACACAGTGGGATGGAGGAGTGCAAGTTCCAGTTCGGGTGGGAGCGCTGGAACTGCCCCGAGAGCGCCCTGCAGCTCTCCACACACAACCGGCTCCGCAGCGGTGAGTGCACCTCCACCTGCCCCACAGCACCCCTGCCCCAGCTGGGATGTGCTCTGGGGAGAGCTGGCTCTGCCAGTTAAATTGACTGATGGAGAAGGGCTTTGCCATCCCAAAAATCACAGTTGTTTTTCCCCTGTATGTATTAATTAGCACTAAAATTTTCCTAGGGATCCCAGGCTCTCTCTGGATCCCTATCCATGCTAGGCTGGAGCTCAGTCCTCCCTGCAATGCTGCTCCATGGGTTTGCTTCTGTCACTTTGAGGAGTACAGCATCCCGGGGAGTGCAGTGTCAGAGACATCTGAGCTTCCAGTGGGGAGAAGCACAGGAGAGATGAAGGGAGAAGCCAGAGATGTGCACTAAGAAACTGTTTTCATAAGAAAGTTGTAGATATTTTTAAATATTATCTACTTCAACAGGCAGGAATCTCTTCGTCCCCAGAGCAACATCTGTATTTGGATCTGTTCAGAAAGCCAAAATGAACTAGATCAGGAGTGTGGGAGCAGACAGCTGCTAGCACAGGTTCCAAAGATCCATGATGATTTTCCCCAGGAGGCAAGATCAAAGCACAACATACCCCCAGGCAGGGAAGGACAGAGATGAACCGAGTGCCAGGTGAAGGGAGCAATAACTCACCTTGGCCAGAGCACTGCCTTAAGATCCTACCCTTGCCAAGGAGTTCCATCCTCTGCATGGACACCTGCATAATATTCTGCCAAATTAATGTAACCTGCAATGCTGAAGCCTGAAAAGATCCAGTTATCAGCATTTAATTTCTGTAGCACTTTACCTTTTGCACAAACTTGGAGGGGGGTATTTTCTCCTTGCCCCTTTGCAGCACAGGAGATCTTCATCCCTGACAATCCAGGGCTGATGTCTGTGCTTGCATGTGACAGCTTTTTTTCCCCTCTCCCCCAGCGACCCGGGAAACATCCTTTGTACACGCCATCAGCTCAGCTGGTGTCATGTACACCCTCACCAGGAACTGCAGCCTGGGGGACTTTGAGAGCTGCGGCTGTGACGACTCCAGGAACGGCCGTGTGGGTGAGCTGCTGTCCCAGACGGACTGACACCCTCCCTCCACCCCCACACGGGTTTCAGGGCAGAATTTGGCAGTTCTGTGCTCAGCCTGTGTCTTGCCTTGCAGGTGGCCGAGGCTGGGTCTGGGGAGGATGCAGCGACAACGTGGAGTTTGGGGAGAAGGTTTCCAAGCTCTTTGTGGATGCCTTGGAAACAGGACACGACACCCGCGCGCTGATCAACCTGCACAACAACGAAGTCGGGAGATTTGTAAGTCAGACTCATAATAATACTGCTAAATAATAATAATGTCTATAATGAAAACAAAATCTGAGCAACTGGTAGGCTGCTCAGGTTCCTGTTTCCAGTCCCCTGTGACAATCTAAGCCCTGCAGTGTTTGGATGGGGGGAAAAAACCATAGCCAGAATCTGGTGTTAAACCTGAACACAGGGAACCACCGTCAGAGTTGTTCCCACTTCCAGCTCCTGCAGCAGTGCAATGCAGTTAACTGCTGGCACACACCACTTAATCAGAAATGCGTGGGGTTTGTACTCACCTAGGCTTGTCTGGTCTGCAAAACAAAGCCAGACCCACCTTCCTGACTTTCTTCCAATATGCATTTCCAAGCTCTTTGGCCGGGAAGCCAGGTGTGAGCTGGCCCCGCTCACAAGCTGTCTGCCAGACTGCCCCGTTCCTGCCTGGGCTGTGGAAGCTCTCAGCATCTTGCCAAACCTTCTTGTCTGCAAAAACAAGGACAGCAACACTTAACATACCTATCTCATAGGGTGTGTCCAGGCTTAATCTCACATAGATACCAGTGATTGGGACCTTATAAATACCAGAGGGAGATAGGCAGATAATATCTGTGAAGTGCTTGGCCTGGAGGAGATGCAGAGAGGTTGGGTATGATTATTCCAAAGCAGTTTCACACATTTTGAATGAAACCTCTGAGAGGGATGGTGGGTTGATGCTGTGATGAGCCGGGTGAGCAGCATGAGAAGGGCATGACCTGACAAAGGCACTTTTTTCCTCGCCTGGATTCTCCCACAAGGGCTGGGGACATTAGCTTGTGCCCACTTGTTATCTCTGGCACAGATGCTTTGCAGAAGCTGAAATAAGAACATCAGCTCATGTCTTGGAAGGATATGAAGTCATGCCGAGCACGAGCCACTTTTGACCCGTTGTCCCCAAATTATAAGCGCCTGATTTTGAGGTTTAAACGATGATGCTCTGCTGCTCCTAATTTCTCCCCCTCTCCCACCGAGGCGGTGAAAGACACGATGAAACGAGCCTGCAAGTGCCACGGGGTGTCGGGCAGCTGCAGCATCCAGACCTGCTGGCTCCAGCTCGCCGAGTTCCGCGAGATCGGGAACTACCTGAAGATAAAGTACGACCAGGCCCACAAGCTGGAGATGGACAAGCGGCGGGTGAGGGCCGGCAACAGCGCCGACAGCCGCGGCGCCACGGCACAGGCCTTCCACCACGTCCACGCCACGGAGCTCGTCTTCCTGGAGGACTCCCCCGACTACTGCACGAGGAACGCCAGCCTGGGCCACCACGGCACCGAGGGCCGCGAGTGCCTGCAGACCGGCAAGAACCTCTCCCAGTGGGAGAAGAGGAGCTGCCGGCGGCTCTGCACCGAGTGCGGGCTGCGGGTGGAGGAGCGGAGGACGGAGGTGGTGTCCAGCTGCAACTGCAAGTTCCACTGGTGCTGCACCGTGCGCTGCGAGCAGTGCCGGACGCTGGTGGCCAAGCACTTCTGCACCCGCCGCGACGGCGCCGCCGCCCCCAACCACATCAGGCAGAGGAACAGGGGCCACAAGAGATAAGGGGCGGCCACGGCACCCCAGGGGGATGCTTTGGGGCCCTCACGCCGGGGTAGGAGCGTCCTGGGCTCCGCAGGGCTCAGCGGGCACCGTGCCAGGGGATGGGGTCTCCTGTGGATGGACACAGTGGGACTGGGAAGCACAAGGCGTGGGCGCTGAGGGGCCACGGTCCTTCCTGCTTCCATGATTTTTCCTCAATATTTACCGGTAGCTTCTTTCTTGTTGAGAGTCACTTTATCTGTGTGTCAGACAGAGAGAAGAGTTTCATGTCTTAGGTGGGCCCAACCCCTTCTGCTCCTGCCAGTGGGTCTGCCAGTGCCAGCGGTGGGGCTCCAGCCCCGCAGCCAGAGAGTTGGGAACGGGAGCTGGGGCCAAAAGTGTGTCCAGCTGGGTGATCCCAGCCCAGCAGCCCCAGGTCCCAAAGCTGGGACAGCCCCGGGTCCCGGCCCTTCACGCACAGAGGCTGCTCAGCAGCATTTCTAGAGGAAAACTTATGCACTTTCTGATGTGAGAGGAGGTTTGGCAGTGCCATGGTGTGTGTTGCCACAACTGCAGCCTTTTGAGGGTTTTGATAAGTTTACAGCCAGTGTTTACAGATTTCCCTCCCCCCTCCATTTTTTTCCCCCCCTCCTCCTTCTTGAATTTTGTATTTTGGCACAAGAAGCCCTACCCCCAATAGAGAGTAGCTTCATGTATTTGTACTGGATGAAATTAAGCAGTTTACAGTTCCTATACTTTTTTTTTTTAAATTAGCAGCTAAGAATTCTGAATTCTTTATGCCTGGATGTTGTTTATTAATAAGTTGTATTATTACTTAGCACAATCTGTTTTCACTATATATTTTGAAGGTATCCCTTAAGAGTTAGATTTTGGACTGTATTTTGCAATAAACACCACGATGAAAAGAACTGGCTTTTTCCTTTCTGGCTTCCTAGCAGTATGACTTTGGGTGCAAAATTGTCCCTTTTTGTGTGAAACCCAGCACTTCCATGAATTCCTCATCATTAATCCAAAAGCCACCGAACCCAGGGAGAAGGTTGCCCTCCTAAATCTTGACAGGTTGGCTCCAGCCTCCAGTCCCTGGAGGGTTGGCTTTGGTACCTATCACCACAATCTCACCCTTCCCAAGTGCTGAGTATGCAGGCCTGGCTAAAGCTGATTTTGAAGCTCCCAAAGCCTCTTTAATTTGCCTCAACCCGACATCCCCCAGACAATGCGAGGCTGCCTGGCTTTGATGTGGAAAGCACCAACATCGGCACTCACTGCAAATTTCTTGGAGGCACGAGAGGAACCCTTTGAACTGGGGCAGGAGAGAAAACTTGGGGACAGTTGTGAATGTGTCTGCTGGTTCCCTGCTGCTCCGGGTGCCAACAGCCCTGGAAAAGGGGCAGGGAGGGCAGGAGGGGACAGCACCAGCTGCTGCTGTCCCAGGGCAGGTCCCGCTCCAGAGGGAGCCAGAGCTGTGCCATCACCCACGCCCAGGATGCAGGGCTGAGGATGCTCCACCAGGTTTGGTCTCCAGACAGGGGGAGGAGGAGGAGGAGAGACAAGTGAAAAAACCACCCTGCAGCTCTGCCAGCACATTGCGCCCACACCACAAATGCTCTGATGCTATTTTATCCAGGTCTCCCTATGGCTCCTCGTGCAAACACAGCCTGGACACACATGAGAGCCAGATCACGGAGCTCAAGGTGCAAAATGCACATTTGGGAAGCACAGCTGACTTCCATGCATTTATTTTATGCAAAGAGGGTCTTACTAAAGCTGGAATGGCGATGCCATTGGCTAGGGGGGCTTTTTTGCTGCCTTCAGAGTAGCTGTTTCTAAAATCTCCATAACTAACAGGCCACCCCACCAAAGGAACAAACCCAAGATTTTTGCAGTGTTGCCACAACAGCAGTTGCAACCCAACAAAATTTAGGCTGAACTGGAAATGATAAAGACAAATAAAAGACCCCTTTCCTGCATCTTGAGCATTGGGTGAGTTTGCACAAAGAAACCCCAGACTCTCCTTTTGTAATACCTGTTGTATTTCCTTGTACTGTGCTCCACAGCCCCAGGAGCTGCAGGCACAGGATGCCACCAAAATCCCACAAAATGAGGTTACACAGAGCACAGGATGGTTGCTGCTGGTGTGCACTCAGAGGAGGGAAACTCTTTCACCAGGGTAACTCCCGAGTCCACATGAAAACCTTCTTGCTGTATACAGACAGCTGGGTTAATAAACCACACAGGTAAATCCCAGGAGATAAGGGCTCTCAGGAGCAGGAATGGTCAGGGCATGCTGTGTGTCATCTTACCAGGTTTGCAGGTGCTCACAGCACCAGACAGGATCTCTGTCCCACACCAGCTCCATCCCAGGGAAACAGGGCTGCAGAGAGGAGTAGAGACACCACTGCCAAGACCAATCCTTTCCCCAACGAGCCCTCCCATTCCAACTGACCCACAGCCAGGACCTTGCCAAGCCACCATTCCTATCCACCATGTTGCATTTAAATGCTGGAGACAAACTGTTCTTTGAATTTGTCTAATTGCTTTTTAAAATCCATTTAAATTTCTGGCACCCGGGCTCTCTAAGGCAACAAGTGTATCCTACACAAAAGCCAGAGACCAAATGCAAATTGAAGCAAACCCAAGATAAAGTTACATACCATCCCATGACAACAATTTCCATTCTCTTTTTATACCTTGCAGAGACAATACTGAGACCAAACAAATACAAAAATCAACTCTATGGCTTAGAGTGGCACCTTGCCAGAGATATTACAGTGCTGGAGAAGCTGAAGCTCCCTCATCCTCCCCCTTGTTGCTTGGATACAACAGCCATCAATTCTCACTACATTCAGTACAAAACAATGGAAATTCAGGATCATCTTAATCCATCATGGCACTGTCAGGGAACCCCGACACCCCTGCCCACTGCTGTGGTTTCTGTAATAACCACACAGAACTGCCATGGGCACAGGGGGCACAGGGTAACAAACCCTGAGGCTGCCACGGGACCCCATCCATCAGGCTGAGCTCATCACTGCAGCTGGGATTTTACCTGGGCAGCAAACTCCTGCAGAGCAGTTCTCCAAACAAACAGGAGCACACACAGTGGAGCAGAGACCTGTCACTGGCTGCCTTGTAAAGGCTCCTTCTCCAGCTGCAGCCAAGGAGCATTTGCAGGGACTGGTGATGTCTTCAAACCTGCATGTGTTTGCTCAGGAGCACCCAAAGTCAACTCCAGTTTGGGACACTGATCCCAATCACCTGCACCTCACTGCACAACTGGAGGAAGGGATGGTTGGCTCTACAAAACCTTGAGGAAGAACCTGACTACTGCCCCATAGTAATATAACAGTAATGTGACAATTCTAATCACAATGAAAAGGTAGAAATTTTAATCTGGGCTGGGTGGTGTATGAACTCCAACCAAACTCCTGCTGCCTGTCCCTCAGGAGCTGCCAGCACTGCTTCTCCCCTCTGAGGCCAGACTCCACACAGTGCTGGGATGTTGGGTGTGCCCTGGAGCAGGGACACCCCAAAGGGGCACTTCAGGCAGGGCTGTGGAGCTGCTTGGACAGGCCTGGAGCAGCACCTGCATGTCTGAACAGCCACTGCCATGGACAGAGCAGCCCCTGTGTAAGAAACCTGTGGGACATCAGTTGAATCAGCCTGAAATCACTGTTGCCCTTGTGGAGGTTTAACACCAGTGTCCCAGCAGCGTGTTTGTGCCTTTATTATGGGAGTTTTATGGCTGGTTTTATTCTTAGTGAGAAAGGGAAACACATTCCAAATTATAAAATAACAGTCCAGCTATAGTGTTACCACAGAGCAGGGCATGTTTATGTCAGAGGTGCCTTCTCAACTTACAGAGTGTCAGAAAATCAGTGTTGGGATGTTTGTACCACGATGATAGCCCAGGCTAAGCCCACAAACTTTCCCAGTCCTCCCATCTCACCCAGGACCATCACTGTCACAGTTTGACCAGTTCCCTCTTGGCCGTGCCCATCCCAGCACCCTCACCAGGAACAGCAACCACCAGTTTTCTTTCTGTTTCTCCTTTCCAGCTTGTGGAAATGCCCTCACAGCCTAATTCCCCTCCAGGCAGGAGCATGGGCACAACTCCATACGGGGCCTTGGCTGGGGTCACCTCCATCCCTGTGTGGAGGGAGGTGGTCTCAGGGGTGCTCAGCCTGCTGTTGACAGGGAGGGAAACGTCCTCAGGGCAGCCCTGGCACAGGGAGCTGGGCTGGTGCTGTGTCTGTCTGGGCAGACCCACCGTGCCACTGGTACGGGCTGGGGATGTCACCCAGCTCAGAAACTGGATCTGTGCTCTTGCTTTTGCTCCCTCTCCTAGATGAGAGAGCAAGGGTGGCTCTGACAGGGAATTCACACCATCACCACCCCCGGTGCCTCCGCAGCCTCTCCCACCAGGCTGGCAGGGACAGGGACTTCTGCCCAGAGTTTGAGGTACCTGCCCCAGTCCCCCTCTCCTCAACAGGCCCTGTCACTGCACGACAACCACCTGCAAACACAGAATCGAATTTATTTAATTCACAAAGTGCGGGTTCTGGAGATCATCTTTGCAAAGCAGTTTGGAGGTGGATGGATTTCAGCCCAGCACTCCCACCCCAGCTGGGGGCTGCTCCCTCCCCTGGAGCCCCACCACAGCCCCCACTGCATCCCACCAGCATCCCTCCTTTCCCCCAGCCTGCTTCCCTTCAGCTGTTAAACTCCCTCCCTGCTGGATTACCTTTAATTTATGCCGCCAGTGCCCTTTCATGGATTATAATTCTGTATGAGATGTTTGTGCTGTATCCTCCCCCCGTATTAAAGTGTCAGGAGTGCATCCCAGGGCCATCCATCTTCAGCACTTCCGCACGGGCTTGGCAATTCTCTGACATGAATATTATGGCTCTCCATGCAGAGCCTCCATCACTCAAGCTGACAAGTGTTAGAATCTCCTCTCTTGAACAGGGTAAGTGACCTTTTCATATGCAGCGTAGATTCCCGGTCACGCTGCATCTGGTGCA